CAATGTCGCGGAGGATGGCATCAATGTCTCGATTTCCTCTAAAAGCAACTCCTTGCATGTGCCAAGGACCAATCTACACCTCAAGGTCTCCTTTTGCAAAAACCCTTGATTCTCCTCATCCTCGCAAATGTAATTTACAACGTGAATGTCCCAGGCTTCTTTCAACTTCTACAATTTAAGATGGTTCAGCGTACCGGGAAGGATACGGGCCACTCTTCCTCCAGCAGCCTCAAAAGCTGACCAAGAGACCCGAATAACGAGAAAAGCTGAAGACCTCTCACCTCGCCACTTGATAAGAGCCGCTCGATATATGTAAACAAGGATGAAAAGCCGGAAAGCCTTATCACTGAAACGACCAATTCACCCTGCAAAGAAACATCTCCAAATGGCTCATAAGTGAACAACAAATAATCAAGGAGATCGATAAACCTTTGAACGGGCAAAAATATGAATCTGTTGGCACTTTCTGCGGCCCTAAGCAAATCGCCTGCCTCTGAGAAAAGCATGGATGCGGGAATATGTGGGAAATTTGGTCTTAAATTGGTAGCAGAGCAGGGAACAAGAATTTCCTTTTGCATGTATTGGGAGATCTCTACAAAGAAAGCAAAATTCAAAAAATACTATCCGCTTCGTGAGGGACATACAGCTTTGAGAGGGAAAACCCAAAAATACCGCCAGAGGCAAGCGTCATGTGGCCGAGAATTGAAAATCGACGGCTCTTTGCGCTTTCTGTTGAATCATGGGTCAATTGAAGCGGGAAGAGTTCTGTCAAACGAACGTCGAATTCTGAGGCAAGCAATACGACGTCTGACAATGCCCATGGGTCTTCTAAAAATACATCCTTGTGGGCAGAAAGTTGATCGCAAAGAAATTTTGCGGCCTTGATTAGCAGTCGTTCTAAATACAACTCCTAAAAATAAGCACGCAAAAATACGCTTAATGGCAAGTAGTTCACAAATAGCTTCTGAGAACAAGGAAAATACGCCTCAATGTTGTCAAGCTGACTGGAAATGAAAAGACGGTTACGGTCGATCAGCTCGATGATTTTTTCAAATGTTGTCATTAGAGATGAGAGGCTAGTTATCGGCACGGAGATGTTGCAAAATATCATGGATTCCAAAACAAAATCAAGGACTGAAGAGACATTCCCATTACTATTTCCTATGATGAATGCTGTTTGAAATTACATCGCAATTGTCAACCCAAAGAGAGCCGCCAGTCCTGAATTCATCTCTAATGTGGGCTGTTTGGAGCTAGAAAAATTTCAAACCAATCACAATTAGTTTCTTACCCTTTTAGCTGAAGGAGAAGGTCTTTAGAGGAAGCCACGAGGTCCTCATGGAGGCTATCAGAAAAGTCCAAGGATATATGTCCAAATAGGTTCGTAATTTCTTTATGTAGCTGCGCTAGAGTTGAAAGAAATGAGGCCCGTTTATACATGTCTTGAAGTTTTGAGGAAGCATCCAGATTTCTTCTCAAAAATGTGAAGATATCCTTCTTTATCATGGTAGTCAATTTGCCTTTTAAAACGGCCAATTTTTCCAGCGAATTTTCTGCGTTGATCGAGGAAAGCAGAGTCATTTTTTTTTTCATGAAGGTCAGCTCGCTTGCTGCGAAGATTATTCAAGAAATCCTGAGCAATTCCAATCCTCCGAACCATTGCGTTTTTGACCTCACCAAGTTGGAATTCTACCGCATCCAGCTAATTTTGTTAGAAAGGCACCATACTTGGCCGGACAAGCAAACTATTTTCTGGTTTATTGCTCTGATTTCACGCGTGATTGTGAGGGAGAAATCCCTTGGAACTGCAACTGGGGGTGACATAATAAATTTGAAATCAATTCGATTCAATTCAATTCAAGTCGATTCAATTCAATTCAAGTCAATTGAATTGATTTCAAATTTAAAACATCCCATGCCTCTTACCCCGAGGCCCACGCCCTATGAAAAGGCCATGCCGACACTTTCAGAAAAGCAGGCCGAGCTTGCATATCTTTTATCGCTACGAGATGCGTCTACAGCCATGTTGGACGGCTATCAAGCTCTCCATAGGACCCTTAGCCGGCTAAAAACAGATGCCTCAGGTAATCAAGTTTTTTGATCGTAGAAAACTATCGTCTTTTCAAGCTATGGTCAGAGGTGATGAGAAATGCTGGCCAAATAAACGAGTCTCCAGGACCGTTGTCGCTGGGCGATCCGCAATCGCCCCTTTCGTCTCAAGCACCTCTATTTGTAAAAATCCCCCGAAAATAGGAGCCTGGTGCTCAAATTTTATTGCTTGTATTAAAGGCCTGGTGATACAAACTCAAAATCGGATTTACGGACAAAGCGAAGAATTTCTCCACTCGAAGGGGATAACTGTACATTAAAATTGAGGAAACGACCATTGAACCGCCAAGAAGTTTGTCGAGGGTCAATGAATTTCCTGGATTTGGCGAGAGGGAGTCCATGATGATTCCAGATGTGACGATACAAAGTGCAGAGGCAAAGCCCTTAATAATTGAGTCTGCATATTTGACAATGTACGCGATTATAAATCCACAGAGTGCCATTAGAACGGCAAGGAGGAAAGTAAACACGTTATAGCCGTGGAAAAGACCCTTCTCCCGCAATATGGGTCCGTCAAAGATTAACATCAAAACTGCAGAAAAAAACATCCCAGACACTGCCAGGTAGATGTTTAATAGCCAAATGATCGGAAGCTCGTCGTCCTTCTCTTCTTGTGAGTTTTTGGAATGAAGCGAGCATTCGAAGAAGATTCCGGCAAACCCGGATGAAATTGTTGCTAAAATTACGGCTAAAAGCCCCAAAATGCCATTTCCCTCGTGTTCGCCATTGTTTGGCGAAGAGATTGAAGATAATTGGACAATCGTCGTTCCAAGCGTCAAAAGTACCAGGGCGCTCTTTTGGACCAGATTTATGCGGGTTCCTTTCATCAGCCACGAAAAATACGCCGTCGTTACAACCTTTAGCTGGGAGGTGATCAAAAAAAGAATTCCATCCAGGTTTGAGATTGCATACAAATTGAGATTGCCTACGGGAAGGCTTAATATTGGAGTCTCATACCTTGAACAGAATAGAAGAGCGAAATCAAAATCATTTTACATCCCAATTTATGTTCCCTAATCGATCTATCGTAAATCTTAGAAACTGTTTGCCTAAGCGAACGCTTGCCAATTGAAAAATGAAGGATTAGGAAACATACCAAGGCCTTAAACGATTCTATCACAAAGACCAACGTGGATGCAGTATAGAGGTGATCCCCGGTTCTACTAAGCTTGGTGGCAACCGGAATTATTGTGTTGAATAGCACCAGAAAAGCTGGAAAAAGCAGGCTCGGTGAAACGGTAATTTTTTTAAACATAAAATCAACAAATGGCGTGGTGGTTAAATTTTCACATCAAAATAATGGCTCAAATTTTGCACTACGTATTCGGGTCCGAAAAATAGCAAAATTGGGGCCGGCGATCAAAGTACAACCACGTAATTGTATGACTAATTGCCAAATCAAATGATCCAAATCCCATTTTACAATTGAGTGGTAACGGGACCCGCCGGCTTTTTACTTTTATTCTCTGATGACGGACCAAGGTAACGCGGGAGATCCTTACTTTTTAGTGGAGTTACTTGCTAAAAGCCTTGAATACATCATCCCTAAGCTAGAAAAGGTGTGGGGAGTTGGAACCCTTCCAGAATTGGGGATAGTTTGTGGCTCTGGCTTATCTACGATGGCGGATGCCCTGGATGCTGTTAGTCTAGAAATTCCATTTGGAAATATTCCCAATTTCCCATTGAGCTCCGTTGCTGGACATGCAGGGCTACTGATATTTGGAAAAATCGAGGGATTGCATGTTGTGTTGCTTAGTGGCCGTGTTCACTACTATGAAGGGTATACACCCCAGCAAGCCTCATACCCCATCTTTCTTTTATCTGGATTAGGTGTATCCTCAATTGTGCTTTCAAATGCAGCTGGTGGACTCTCCATTAACTACAAAGTTGGTAACATAGTGGTGATTACTGATCATCTTTATCTAGCCGGCATTAGTGGAATGAGTCCATTAGTTGGGCCTCATATTGCCATTCCCAAGATTCTTTCTTCTCTCCGCAATCTGTCTCATTATACAGCTCTCAAATCTAGAATTAATGGCAGAAATTCTGAAAGATTTACTGCCCTCAATGGAATCTACTCTGCGCATTTACGTAGACTTTTTGGCCAGGCAATCGTCGATACTGGTGCATTTGAGGCCGGACAAATTCATTGTGGCGTTTATGCTTATACTGCTGGTCCTCAATATGAGTCACCTGCAGAAACCGTAGCCCTAAGGAATATGGGAGCAGACGCTGTAGGAATGTCTACCATTCCTGAGGTGTTGGTTGCTGCCCAATATGGCATT